TTTCTCAAAAGTGGCCCGTTCAAGTTTACGTTTTTGTGAACATAAAAATTGAACGGGCTCTTGTATTTCGACTCGCAATCTGATGCGGTTGGTGATAGGGGCTTTCCCTTTCTCATCTTTCTTGGAGAGATTAATTCGACCCCCAGTTTGATTTGTAACTTGGTGACCTTTCAACGGACCCAATCGTTCCTTGATAGGTACTTTACCTCGATTCCCTGTTAAGGGACCGAGGCAACCTTTCACAGGAACCTTGGAGGTTGAAGGGTCTGTGTTCATACCTGACCCTACCGGAGGTGCCGGGGTAAGGGGAACAGGATTTGGCCTTGGTGAAGGTTGGGCAGCAACTTCTTTCACCCACACCAACTTGTTTGTAGGCGGCCGTTTGACCGTCGTTTCTTTCTGCATCTCCTCTGCTTTCTTCAAGAGAGCTCGGGCATGCGCAAGCAGTGCACGGCGCTTCCTGATTCTCTCTTCAAGGGTGGAGCGGTTCCTTGTAACACGCACCCACTTGTTCGTTTCTGCTTGAGAGGAGGAGTTGGTTACATACCGTTGCTGCTCAAGGCGTTGTCTCGATTTGAGATCTTCTTTGTAGCGGACCCCATCCATAGGCTCCAAAGCCTTGGCCATTTGACGAGCAAGGCGCTGGCGCCGCCTTTGGAGCGCCCTCTTTGATAGAGTTGGAGTAACATCAGTAGCCATCTTCTTGGGGGAGGAGTAGCCCAGATCTACGATCTCGACCACGTTGGGCGATGCGGAGACGCCACATGGTGCAAGTGCAGCGATGGCTAAGGAATCTTGGGCCTTTGAGCCGAGGTTCTGGCGAACGACTCTGGAGGAGGATGCCTTCTTGCGCCTACTTGGAGAGGCGGATCTGGAGGAGGAGGAAGAGAGGTACTCTTCGAATTTTTGCTGGTCGAACTCGTACTCGACCTCTTCGTTCACCCGGATCTTGAGGGCCGGTTGCGTCACGACGGCGTCGGTTGCGATGCCGTTGGCTCCCACTGTGGTCGCCAGCTTGTTTTCGGTGAAAGTCGCTGTTTTCATTGCTTTCGAAATCTGTTACAACTTCAAACGTTACAACAAGAATGCAACTAAAACAAAGATTACAACTTTATCGAAAATAAACACGAGATCCCGTTTTGGTGCGGTCTCGCTTGCGTGGGTCTTTGGCCTGTGACGGGGATGTTGATATCCGTGGACCACCGGGGCAATCAGATCCGGTCCGGATAAATCGGACAGAGTTTCGTCGATCCGCGTGAGATCTAGAAACTTCTGATCCAGAAATATCGGACAGAGCTTCGTCGATCCGCGTGAGATCTAGAAGCTATAAGCGTATACCTCGGCTAAAACGAGGTAATAGCTCTTCTTAGTATCAACGCTAAAGGCTAATACTAAGGAAAGAAGGGGGAAAGGGTGTCTCGGCCATGGCCGAGACACCTAGGGGTGTCTCGGCCTTGGCCGAGACACCCCTGGGGTGTCTAGGCTTTTCCTAGACACCCCGGGGTATTTCGACTGGCCGGGACTCCGTTTAGGTGTATTTTGTTTGTTTCCCTGTAGATTCTTCGTCCGGACTTGGATTTGAGTGATTCCGGGTGCGTTGGATGCGTGACGAAGAGTTCGATCCGCTCTGGTGATTGGATTATCTGTAGAGTGGTCGAGGTGCGAGGGGCGTTGTCCTTTTTGTGAACAGTGCCGGGTTTCCCGATGGGTCCGGGTCTTCGTGGTTCCGAAGTCCCATCCGCTCATGTAGCTCGTCGATTCACTTCAGTCGTTCGTCGACGTCGATTAGGCTCATGTGGGCCGGATGGTGATGTTCATCGTCGCTCGTTAACGTTGAACCGCTTGTGGAGACCTATAGGCAATTTTTGATGCCTACAGCGGGTAAGGAGCGGACATTTGTCATCACCTACCAAACTAAATCCCACCGTATTTCCCCTAACTAAAAGACAAAAATAACTAATCACAGGTAAGCTCTATCTATAACTCACAAAGGTATAACAACTTAGTTTGAGGATTTCTTCTAACAACAAAATGAAATCCAGCTGGAAAAAAGAAAAAGCAACGACCAAGGAACATGGCTGGCAGCGAAAATCTAGAGATCGGCGAGGAAGTTGTCACTGAAGGCATCTGGGGCACTCTTCTTAGCAAGCTCTTGAAGACCAAGGTTAAAAGCTTCTCTATGAAGTCTCCTTGCAAGCCTGTCCTCTTCAGCACCTGACCAAAAAATAGTGAATCTCGCAATATTAGAGGCAATATGGAGAGGATTAGATTGTGAATCCTTAAAGATAAGAGAGTTTCTGGTGTTCTAAATCCGCCAGCAAAAACAAGGCAACAACAACTTCCATATGACTTTAATATCCGAACAGAGACTGGGATATTTGTGAAGAAGAATCAATTCTTCCATGTTGAGAGGCCAATAGTTAGAAGGGAGATGGAAGAGAAGAGAATTCCAGACAGAGCGGGAAAATGTGCATTTAAGAAACAGGTGATCATGAATTTCAATTTCCATATAACAGAATGGGCATCGAGGGTCACCAATCCATCCCTTGGTGACCAGATTTACCCTCGTGTTCAACTTCTTATGTCAACACTTTTTTTTTAAGAAATCAGAAGTTCAAACATTGTACTCACTTACTTATGTACTCTTCAGTATTTACAATGTTTTAGTTATTTTAGGTAATTGTATTTTAGACCTACCAATTACTAGAAAATCAAGTTGTTTTAGAAAATATGTAACATCGAGCTAACAAGATACTACAAGGTGCTTGAAGGTATTTGGATCAAAGATGAACTACAGTTCTTCGAGCATTGATGTTATGGTGGTATGCATTATGATTGATGTTTTGGGGCTTGGTTAGATCTTTCTACAAAAGATTGATTTTGATTAGACTGATTATGTTTCATCTTTGTAGAGATTATGTTAGGTTTCTATAGGGTGTTAGTTCAAAATGAGAATGTTTGTACTGTGATAGTACAACATGAGCAAGTTGTCATAATAATGTAGAAATGATTGTTATGGTGTAAACTCAATTTGATGAGGAAAATGAAGACTGTTGTATTGTCAGAAATATTGAACAAAACTCAATTCTTTGCTCTTATTTTTGTTTTAATAGTAATAACTATCAAATATATTTTAGGAATAATAATGTAATCGTAAAAAACATTCCTTGCAACTAAATGTGATGGAAAACATGCAAAAAGACAAAGGAATTCAAACCACTTCAATGAGATTAATATTCGTAAAAAACAATATTATAATATTAAATTTTATAATAAATATTGTATGTACTAATTGGAAAATATTGTAATATAATAATAATATTATTATTATTATAGTAAAACATTATTTTCTTGCTGTGGAAAATATATTTAAAATGTTTTTAATATGATACTAAATAATTAATGTTATCTATATATGCATAAAAAATTGTAAATATGATATTATAATATTTAGACACATTGAATAATAATATTGTTATATAATATTATACTATTTTAAACAATTTTTATTAAAACTTAAAACTATATACTTTTAACATAATTTAATACTGAAAAACATGTATTCATTTTCCTATCCAAAAAAACTTCGTAACATAAAATGCATATGTTGCCACACACGTATACTATGCAAAAACATACATCACATTTATCTATATATACTATATAACATGCTATAACGAAAAATGTAATGATATCCGTCTATTTATAACTATAACATACATCACATGTAATGCACGTATTGTATACTATAGTAAAAATAGATTTACACAAGACCTCACACACATACAATGTGACAACTAGGTGGGCCTGAACACTATTGACATTAGTGGATAGCTCATTTTACAAATAAATTGTCAGCTCATATACATATTTCTCACACACACACATACAATTATTAGTGGATAGCTCATTTTACAAATAAATTATCAGCTCATATACATATTTCACACACACACACACATACAATGTGACAACTAGGTGGGCCTGAACACATTGACATTAGTGGATAGATCATTTTACAATATGCACCTCTTAATGTATGGATTGAGTTATTTCAAATGACGATCGGCTCTGTTCATTATGATTTGAATATTTTAAAATATCTATAAAATAAAAAATCATGGTGTTTTAATACATATTTTTTATTATCTCTTTAGTTGTATTGTCGTTAAACTGTTAATTTTATACTCACTTAATGCATAAATAACTATTATCTCATATGTCTAATTTTTTGTTTATACATCATCCAAAACATATAGATCAAAATAAATAGAGTAGATCAAATGAATTGATTGCATATAACGTAATTTTGAAAGTGCATCTTTAAATTCAATCTAAGGTGGCTCCTTAGAATCATATTTCCCATATATATATATATATATATATATACTTTATTAGGCTTTTCTAAATGACCATGTAACGAGCTTTCTGTCAATGGATCCCAACCTAATTGGGCTTAGGTCATTAAGTATAAAAATACTCCTCGGACTTGAATTGCTCGTCAACTTAGGCTTAGTAAGATGGAATCACATTGGAGTTTAATATTATTATTGGTGCCCATCTTTCACAATGTTCTTTTTTCTTAGTTAGCGCATATGTGTGTGTATTAAATGGATGGTGAGCTGCCAATGTAGGAAAATTCCTACATTGTCGCCACATAGCATCTTGTCATTCGCTAGATTTAAGAAATTGTTTTAAAGAGAAAATGAGAAAAGCAATTATTAATAATAGCTAAGAATACAACTAATAGTGGTCGTGTATGTAAAAGTTCCTTACTTTCCCTCTCTCTTCGTCCCAATTGTACAATCTATCTATCTATCTATCTAACTTTTTGCAAGTATGTTACCAAGCATATAGCAATCATTTTCTAGAGGCTGTGCAAACTTTCAGCAAGACATCCAGGGTAAGTTTAGAAATGTCGATATAGACTTAAGGAAAGAACAAAACAACGTCAAAAATACAGAATTAAAGATGCCACTCTACGGAAAATGAGCACAGAGTTAATCGTGAACCAACAAATTCTCTTCGTCAAAGCTTTTTGTTTTATCTTCTTATTTTGTCTTCATATAATTTCTGAATTTTTTTGTCCGTAAGACTGATGCAATTCATCATAATACGATACAATTCATCATATCAAAATTTGTGAAAAAATAATCTGAAAGAAAACATGTATAAATAAATCATCATCAGGACTTCATAAAACGAGAAAACAATTTTTCCCCATAAATTATTGTTGCACTGCGACATCTAACACTTCGTCAGATTCATCGATACTCATTTCATTTCTGAAAAGAACTTTAAGGTACGGAAGAACCTTTGGAAGAACATGCAAGTCTGCTGCATTGACGCTCATTAGATCAAAAGCAATACATGTTCTATCCATGTGGACCTCATCAAATACGGGAACTTTCGGGTACCTCTGACTAAAATGGGTGAGTACAACCCGATATGCACCTGCTGATGCACCCACCGCTATAGCTTCCTTCGTTGTGCTATGATTCTTCGTTATTGCTTCCTCGTCCATGCCATCCTCGAATGTTGCCTGCAAATTTGAAAAATATAGATGTTCAAGTCTCAATTGGAAAATATAGATGTTCTATACTTTAATTTGCAGAAGATAATTGGTTGTTTAGTTTCTTAAAAGGGTAAATATAATGGTTTTTTTTCCTTAGAAACCATCTTTAAAACAAGGTCATTCTGCATAAACCACCTGTTTGTCAATTAATACATAAATTACCTTTAAAATGTTTTATGTTACAATTAACCACTAGGACTTACTTTTCAGTTTAGTATTTTCAATTTTGCTGTAACAATTAGCTGACAAATACCAAGTATACTGCAGAGATTATCCTTAATGGAAGTTAGCTGGTATTGAGACTGAAAAGTGGATCCAGATGGTTGATTGCAACAAAATAAACCCTAAATGGAAGTTTTTGTATTAATAACAATCAAAGGTGGGTGATGCAAAATGACCGTATTGTAAAGGTGGTTTCTACCGAAAAAACCCTATAACAAAACCATCTTTAAGTTTATATATCATAGAAAGCTCCTTGAACTTTAAAACTATACTAAACCCCTCTAAACTATTGGAAATTTTCATAAAGGGCAGGTTAACATAAAAAGCCTAAACCAACCGTTTTACTTTTTAACTACATGTACAAGAGAAAGGGTTAAAATTTTCCAAAATTCGCCACATTTGAAGCACATTGCAACTACAGTAATTGTTATCGGTGATGGTACTTGAATGTGTCAAGTTCAAGAAGGTTCCTATGATTTATAAAGTTCAGAGGGTTTTACGCAAAACCCTCGATGTTCAAGGGGTCTTGTGAAATTTACCATTTCTTAGAAAGGTTAAATAATTTACATGTATGGCAGAGCTGATATGGAATATGGGGAATGGTCAAGTTGTAATGAAAATGGCCAATAAAAAGACCATGTTGTTACCAAAGAAGCATGGAACCGCAATGGTGCAAAAGAGGAAATACCTTCTTGAGCCTTTGAATTCGACCCTTGCTTAGGTGTTCATGCATCAATGTCCCAGAGACTAATTCAATGTTTCCCTTGCCAGACACTCACAAAACCCATAGCTTCCTACCAATTTCTATGATACTGGGGGCACAAACACTGCCCTCAGTTCACATTAAGTCTATGCAAACAACAAACCAGAGTGTCTCATATTATATAAAAAAGGGCAAACAAAACGAATATCAAATTTATCCAACAGGTGCTTGTTCACTATAGCATTGAAAGAGTGATCCTGAAACAAGAAAGGAAGGCTGCAATATGTTTAACCCGACAATAACAAAATGGCCTAAGGGGAAAAAATCTAATAGGCGCCATAACTTTGTGATGTGATTTGTGATGTGATACAACATACTAGTACTAAACTAATGAAATGTGGTAAATGTTTTGCAGCTAATGTAATCAGGATAGCCTTAGAAGAAGCAACTGGAGAAAAAGGATTCATGTAGTTGACCACAAAAGGAACAGATAGATTTACGTGTCATTATGCCACAGACTTGTTTTCATGCAAACAATGGTCACCACACAACATCAACTAGGGGAAAACGTAAACAAACACATCAAAGTTATGTGATTACTAACCTCATGTATAAGAACTGTTGCACCAGAAGATGCATCTATCAGAGATTGACAAGGTCTAGTATCACCGGAATAGACAAGCTTCCAACCTGGTATAGCTTTTCCAGTGTTATTTTTTCTCTCAGCAGCCTTCAGGACAACACCAAATGCCTGAGGGCAATGTATAACAGGGACACTATATAGAGCTTCTAAACCCGCATCATGTAGAATTGATTTCAATCTCATTACAAGTGGTAGAACGACTGCAGTATCAACTGGGCTCCCAGGCCTGTTCCAATAACTTTCCATTCTACTGCCTTTAGCAAATAATGTAGCTTGCAAAGGTTTATGATTATCCTTTTGAGGATCCAGGCTAGCTTCAGTTGTATGCCTACAATCCAAGAATTGCATATCCAAATCTTCAAGTCTAGAGTAAGCATCTAAAAATCTCTTCAATGGTCTCGGCCCAATCACAAGCAAAGGTTCATGAGGCACATCCTTCAGCAACCGCGACCTTAATGCAAGTATTCTGGCGAGACCAGTGTGATGATCAGCATGAATGTGAGAAATCCAAATAAATCTTAAATCTTTAACCGCACTGTCAGCACCCTCCACTCCAAATCTGACACAGAAATTTGTTGAGTATAAGATGCAAGAAATAATATTAAAAAATTGTAACAAACCACTTGCCATACTTCAGACTAACCTTCTTTTCAATTGTGCTAAAGTTCCTTCTCCACAGTCTAGAAGTAAACCTCCTTTCGAGAAAAGATTGACGAAGATAGAACTGACATTGCGGTATTTGGATGGTTGTGATGAACCTGTACCTAGGAGAATAAATTCCATGTCCTCTCTTGTTATATTCTCCAAACAAGGCGGGATATCAGAATTCTTTTCGGTTGCATTTAAATGTTCTTTAGATCCTAGCAGTTCAAGTTTTGAATTAGGACTGCATAGAGCTTCATTTATCCATGGTTCTTCCACCATAGTTATATTTTCAGCTTTTTTACACATTGCAGATTTACTCTCTGCAGTCCAAAATTGACGGAGATATTTTGAAATATCAACTATTTCAGGAATTTCTGAAAGAAGTTCATCAACAATGTCTTTGTGATTTAACAAGCTTGGAATAGCAGAGCGGTCCAAGCCCAGTTGAGCATAGGGGCGCAGATGAAACTGGAACATGTACAAGGAAAGAAAAAATTTAACTAAGTAGCACTTATCTCCCAAAGGAAAAAGAAAAACTTGTGGTTGTGGCTTGTTACAAAAAATGGTAATCAAAACAAGAAATAGAAACAAACTACAACAAAATTAGACCAACATTATGAGGCTACCATGAAGACAATGCACAGAAGAAAAATGATAGCTGCACAAGTTTCAGAATAGATATAACAAATTAATTTCACCTTGCGTGGTTACTAGTAATATATGATTATCAGCACATTATTTCTTGATAACGGAAGTCGAGGAAGTGACAATATTATTGAACAAACTCATTTTCGATGACCTGACAGATGAAATAATTCATATAGTTTCTCCCTTTCTTATGTATTAGCTATGTAGCACGGACACGGATCCGACACGGCCATCCGACACGCCGACACGAGGCAAATCCTAAAAAATACATAGGATACATGTGTTCGACACGCGTGTCCGACACGGACACGACACGACACGGCTTCATGTTATGCGTGTCCGTGCTTCATAGTGTATTAGCATCCAAAGATGTCAGGCGAGTTAACTAGGAGCCTTTTTCCTTTCAGAAATTAGATGTCTATGGATCAGAACTAGAAAATGAAACGATGCGGCACCAGATAAAACGTATATTGTATGCCAAAAAGTGGGTGCCTTTGTAATGGTGATGTACAAATCAATAATTTGAATGTTCATTTAAAATTTTTGAGTTGGTATTCGAAGTCTTTCAAGGTAAATGTAGACTAAATAATTTACAAGAAAACAAAAGATAATATCAGATGTATAATAACTTAAAAAATAATAAATCAAATATGTAAACAAAGATTTGATATGCAAAAAAATCAATTATGTCAATGCTCATATTCAATTCATTCAAACATACAAATACTGAAAACTAGATGATTTTTCTTAGCCAGTCTTCCGAATTGAATTTGAACAAATAGTTAGATGAATAATACTGACGTATTTGATAATTATTCAATCAAATTCCTCCATTAGACGCAAACATAAACAAAAATAATAAGATAATATTTTCAGAAACCCCAGGGACGACAATCCCCTGTCTGTCACCAGTACCTGTCACCATTCACCAGGATAATAGTATGGAACCTTATATCTAATCGATCAGTTAAAAAGAATCTTGTATTGCATTACACCTTTTAATTAGCATCTTAAAAGTTCAGTGAACATAATAGATGTAGAAGAAACATGCATGAAAATTAGAAACATTTTATTGCATTAAACTTAGGTTAAAGAAGGAGAACTTTCACACTATAGCTCATTTACATTTATTTAAGTGATAAAAGATCTGTGAATTATGCTACCAGTTCCATACCTTTAGAAGATTTTCAGCTGAAACCTGATTACCAGAATCTGGAGAAGGTTCCTGGAAACGAAAACGAACTGATTCAAAAATTTATCCTGTTAATATAGCTAATAAGTTGTACCCAATTACGGAACATACCTCACAAGAACCATTGGGATGTGGAAAGAAATTGATATTGTTAAGAGACCAAAATCCTGGAGCAGGAAAGAACGGAGGGCATAGATAGTTCAGTCTTGATGAAATTCTTGCACTAGCTTTGAGAATAGGGATTTCCATGTTTTTACTAGAACAAAATAAAGAGAGCTTATAAGTAAAAGACTAAAAGTGCAATAAGAATTCAATAATCTTTTAAATGATTATTGAAAGTATTAGTTATATAAAGAATAAACACATTTAAAAAGGTATGCTTATTCCTCATAATTGTTTTGCTTCAACAGTAAGCAGATTATTGAATGATGTAGCTAAAGATCAGAGTAACGCTACTAGTCTTGCAACCATCTCCAACTTCCTTTCCAAATATTGATGAAGGAACTAAATGGAAGACATGATAAGCAGAAAGATGTAGACTTTAGTATTAAAATGCCTATTCATTTGGTAGGGTGTAAGAGAGTTGAAGTAAAAGTGCAATAAGAATTCACTAATCTTTTAAATGATTATTGAAAGTATTAGTTATAAAGAATAAACACATTTAAAAAGGTATGTTTATTCCTCATAATTGTTTTGCTTCAACAGTAAGCAGATTATTGAATGATGCAGCTACGATCAGAGTAACAGTACTAATCTTGCAACCATCTCCAACTTCCTTTCCAAATATTGATGAAGGAACTAAATGGAAAACATGATAAGCGGAAAGACGTTAGTATTAAATTGCCTTTTCATTTGGTAGGGTGTAAGAGAGTTGAACCTTGACAAAGAAAGCACTGACATGAAACTCTGATGTTGTCCTGATATAGTATTATTTCATACGATTTTCATGTCTCCCTTTTTATCACAGATTGATGGCCTTTTTATCACAGATTGATGGCACAGGTTTTCTGTGTAACATTTATTACGTACCTCAACATTGTGACTATCTTTACAGATAATACATAGATGAAGGATCAGTATTATCCTCAGAAAAATAATAACAGTATGTTCCAACAAAGCTTAAGACAACAACAATAACGAAGCCTGTATCTCTTTCAAATCATTTTATTGGTTTATACCAGCTTTGATTATTATTACTATTTGATTGATAATCTCTTTCCATTTTTAAAATAATATGAAAGCAAGTTCAAAACTTTCAAAACTGTATAGAATCCAGTCTCAACTTCTAAAATTTATCTAAGTGGAACAAATATAGTTCAGTAAAATAAAAACTCTGATGAAAAACCAAGATGTGATTTAAGGAAATAACTGAAAATAACTTTCATATGCTTAGTAGAATAAAGAACACAAAATCAGCGAAAGCATGAACCAAACCTCACATTTCATGGCCTGCCATGATGTGCTGCGTGATGCCAAACATTCTCATCCACTTTTGATAATCTGCATCCCTCGTTACAGAAGCGGGACTCATGTGAATTACACAATTCACATGTTTAATGCCCTCCCCTTTGTGATCAGTAGAGTCAACATAGTAACATTCAAGAGACTGCAGAGAAAACAATTCCAGCATATGGTCTGAGGTTGGGCAGTCAACAATAAGCACGATTGGACCAGGCACTGAAGGACCAAGAACATCACTTGGTTGAACCTGCGCCATATAACAAGAAAGTGAATTGTATACCATGTAACAGTTAAATTTGCAGCAGAATATCTGCATAATGTTAATATTCAGTAAAAGACAGATGAAGCATAGTAGTTAATTTTTTTTTTAATATGCTGATTAAAGTTAGCGGTGATTGAAACTTTTGCATCTGGTAGCTTAGAAAGAATTAATGCACATAGACATCGGTAACATTATTGTCAGATATCACACTAGAGTTCGAAGTTTGATTAAACTTAGGCTCAACACACCATAATGTCTTGATAATCTGACATTACTGACTTTCCAAGTTGCAGTTCGCGATATTTTGGACCTGGTTTCAGTCCTAGAGATGAAGCTTTAACTGGGTCAAACTTCCCCTTAATGTTCGCGATATTTTGGACCTGGTTTCAGTCCTAGAGATGAAGCTTTAACTGGGTCAAACTTCCCCTTAATTTCTGGCAATTCACAGACATAGACAACGTCCTAGAGATGAAGCTTTAACTGGGTCAAACTTCCCCTTAATTTCTGGCAATTCACAGACATAGACAACTGCAATATCACCAGGCTTTAGTGTAGAACCTGTTATGTCATATAAGCATCATTAGCAGAGACGACTGAGGGCCACCTAGAAGCTTGTTTACTATGGCAGAAACCAAATTACAAATTAATCAGTAAAGGCATCAATGAGCACAAATTCCGGACCATTATTAGATTGGGATGGTCTTAGTGGAATAGCTGACAGTCGCACCACCTCGTCATCAATGAGAACAATGGGATCTGTGATCCTGCCGGTATCAGGAAATGAAACAGCAACCTCACTTTTATCTTGGGTCTCTCCAAAGCTGTGCGCGCAAACCATGGCAGCATGTGGAATAAATGATTTCATTGCATCAACCAAATATTTAAGATCAGACGGCCCCCACATGTTAACCTGAAAGAAAATAAGTTTACCGAAGGAGCCTATAAGTTATTTACTGGAAGGCTACATCAGTAACATATCATGGATAATGGAACAAATAGTAAACAAGCATTCTCCAAAAGCAGTTTAAATGAAAGACAAGCAAAGAAAGTTAGAGGATTACATACAGACATCCCTTCTTCCCCAATTCCGGCTAAAGTCAATAGAAGACCTGTACACAATTAATATATTATTGTGCATTTACAGTTCGAAGATAATTGTACTACTATTCTACAGACAAAGAAAGGCCTGCGAGCTGAGCCTATGAGATAGGATAAATACAGTTTCTTGACATATCAAAAATAACTTTTTCTAAAAAACAATTTCACACTCAGATAAATAATGCACCTGGAAGTCCGCCTGCTGTCTCTGAGCATACACGAGTTAGGAATATGTGATCAATCTGAAAGAAAACATCATTAAATTGCTTCAACTCTATGAAAAATCAAATGCTAAAATAGGATCAAAGTTGTAAACGGACAAGCAAATAGATACTCAATCTGTTAATAGCAGACAGTTCTATACGTGGGGAAAAACACAGAATAAAGTGAAGACATTGGAAAAAGAAAACTTGCATAGAAATGTCAATATAAAGATAGTTTGACAGATGATTTCTCAAATGGATAAAATAAAAAGAAAACTTGCATAGAAATGTCAATATAAAGATAGTTTGACAGATGATTTCTCAAATGGATAAAATTGACAATGAGGCTAGCACTAAGAGTCAATATAAAGATAGTTTGACAGATGATTTCTCAAATGGATAAAATTGACAATGAGGCTAGCACTAAGAGGATAAGCAAAACTAGAGTTATTCCGATATATGTGTACCTTCGATAACTTGATCTTGTGCTCAGTGCAGAACCGCTGCAAACCCTGAAACAAGATGACTTATTAGACAAAGATTCATCTCAAGGAAGTTATCTTATGAGTAGAATGTCAAAAGAAAGGACACGTACAAGGATAATGGCAAAACATTTGTATCTGACACTCGTTAATAGTGTCAAATTCTCTTAAAACCGAATTTGACCACAGATAGGACATAAAGCAAAATTCACTTGAAAATTTAGCGAGACGCAATGAGTGACTTCTAAACTCACAATAATTAACACTTCTTAGAAGATGTAGTTAATTCATTATCAACACTCCTAAGTCCTCACTTACACAAATGACCACTCCAGATCAGGAGATGTCAAATTATCAGCATGACACAATTTATTGATCTACACTATCCACATGCTTATTACTAGCCTGCAAAAGTAATAGTGTGCGAGCTGATATAACTTCAGTAATGCTGCGCAGATCCAGGATGAGCTCAAGGCACAAGAAGGGGGCACAAAATCCTGAACACCAGCAATTTCTAACAGAAATAGGCTAATTTGTGGCATTATCTACAGCAGTTATCAAAGTATAGTGAGTCCAAAACAAATTTAATCTTAGCTCTGAGACAAACCCAAGTAAGAGAACAATGGCTACTAAATGAGAGAGACATGCATGAAGCCAGACATATCAAGTTATCCAAATGCAGTTTGATTGGCAAATCCAAAATACAAGGGATTTGTTTTGAATAATTTAAGAAATTTTATAAATATTTTGATATACTCCTTTGTGACTGGAGAAAACCCTAATAAAGTTCCATTGGAGTCAGGATAATCTATACATATCGTGGATACATTCCATATGGAAATTTTCCACCTAAGCATGTAAGCCCAATATGTTCAGCAGTCGAATGAAATGAAAAACTGCGGGTTAAATCTCTGTACATCATGGAAAAGCCTTCCATTGTAAAGAGGCAAATTGTAGCCTTCAAAAGCGGCGCCCCTAAAATTATGGTAGGGAAGAAACAAAATCATAGAAAGAGGAAGATAGTAGGAAGAGGAATACATCATCCACTAATTGCAATCACCAAAAATAGGAGAGAAGGATTTTACAGTTACATAAAACCAACTAAAGCCTACTTTCAAGGGCATCCTCTCTCTGAAGCACAGATTCGCCCCCGGAGGCCATGAATCCGTGTCTGACTCAAATCGGACACGGATTCGTCACGACACGTGCACGACACGTGTCGGACACGGTCAATCCGTGTCTGACACGGGTCAACGGTCAAATTAGGCTCGGACACGGTCAAATGAGCTCGGACACGGCTAGGATTCGCGGAAGGCTAATTCATTCGGGTTACGGATTACGGGTTTGGTTGTTAAAATCCAACCCAAACCGTTTGATTAAAAAACTCATCCCTATTTCTCAAATCTCCCATTCGATTCGATCCTCAGCTGACTCAAACAAAAGAAAAAAAAAAAACCCTAACCCTAACCCTAATTCTCTCTCAATCTCTCAGCTCACTCCCGTTCGATTCGATCACCTCCGCTGTTCCGACCCGATCCCGTCGACCGCTCCACTGTCTCTCAATCTCTCAGCTCACTCCCGTTCGATTCGATCACCTCCGCTGTTCCGACCCGATTTTGTATTGATGTAATAAAGTTAGAAATGTAATAATTATTTACGACCTCTTCCCTCCCCGAGCATGGGCTACGCCTACGGGTTTAGGCACTTGCTCACCGATCATGGGCTACGCCTACGGGTATAGGCCCTTGTTCGGGTGTGGGGGGGTATGGTTGCTTAGTTTAGTTATTTCATTTATAGCTTTTGCTTTATATTTAATGCAATATTATTACCCATCCTACGAGATGGTTTTTCCATTATAAATGGGGCTTGCACGTCCTATGTTTATATGATTGTAATAATACAGAGTTTGCAAGGGAACAAGCACCGCAAGGAGTTGCATATGGCTTGCTAAAATGTAATTAGTGTAGTTGCATTTTATTTTCTTTAGTTGTCCACTACCATTCTATATAAGTTTTACATTACATATGTTGATATGTTGGTTGTGCCCCAAATTGTAGATGTCAATACAATTGGGTGCTATTTTTTGCAAAGTTTATATCTCTATCTCACTAGAGAATAGTTTTTATTATAAAAACTCATTTTTTAAACTTTGTGAGACATGGCAATAAGAGTTTATTGACCATAGAGTGGTGAGATCGACATTAACATAGTGTTAGTGTGAAAGATAAATAAACCTAAAGCAGTTAAAAGAGATGTATTTAGAATGAGCTTTTAACTAGTGTCAAGGAAAGTAATTATGAGATATAGCTCATGGGGTGATGCCCAACTTAAGATTAGGGGTGATGCCCAATCTTTCGCGCTATAGTCTTAAAGAGAAGTGGTTACTTAATTAAGGTCCGATAAATATTCCCGGTGAATAGCTCGGAACCCTCCCACCAATCTTGCGCTTTCCTGGCTAGTTTAATTGTTGCAAGTATAAATATAGAGCATCTTTAAACTATATCAAGTTCGATTACGGTAAAAGATTTGAGAAATCGTCCGTAGCCCTCCATCATTTTAGTTAAATACTATTAAGCTTATAAATACTATGTTTGTTGGCATACGTCAAGGCATAACTATTCTATGGCTAAATAGTATTCATCTGTATATAAGATATAAGGATAGCTTAAGTTGGTTATGCAACTTTGTTGGCATACGTCAAGAGTTTGCATAAGTTAAATTTAAGCCAGTCAAGAAATGATGGGTACAAACTTGACTAGCATTTTATGATTTGTTGGCATACGTCAAGGTCATAAAAGACTAGGGGTAAAATCATATCAAGAATTACAAGAGTGTAAAAGACAAAAGTTGTCTACCAATTATTGAATGTGTTAATTTGTTGACATACGCCAAGGTTGATGCATTCAATGATAATTGGATCTTGATCCCACTTGAAAACAATGAGTTGTTTTCCGATCACCTATTATAAGGTTTTGAGGGACTCGAAAAATAGTGGGAGGCATAACTTAGATAAAAATAAACCAAATCTATTTTATGTATTGAACATCTGCTAAAATACCTTTTCTCTCTCTTTCAGGCCATTATGTCTGGTTTAAAACTCATATTGGAACAGAACAAGTTAACCGGTCCTAATTACAAAGACTGGTTGAGGAATGTTAAAATTGCCCTAACTTATGACAAAGTAGCATATGTCCTCACTGCGCCCGAACCTGTTCTAGGCCTAGAACCCACTATAGCGGAAACTGAAATCCGCAATACATGGGATAAAGATTGTTCACTTGCTCAATGCCTCACCATTGCCTCTATGGATTTGGTCCATCAGAGACAACATGAGAATATGGATATCAGATCCATATTTCGTAATACAGAAGAACTGTATGGCGAGCAACCGCGACAAATGAAGTACGCGGCGTCTAGGAATCTGTTCCAGACGAAAATGACTGTGGGATCTTCTGTTGGGGATCATGTCCTCAAAATGATCGCCTATGTCAATGAGCTTGAACTTTTGAACGTAGGCCTAGATGCAGATAGATATACAGATATCATTCTGCAGTCCTTGACACCAGCATACTCCCGATTCATATCACAGTTTTTGATGATGGATCTGGAGCCCACTCTTCCTGCCTTGCTTAATTTGTTAAGACAGGAAGAAAGTTCTTTGAAAAAGGGACAAACACCAGTCTTGGCTATAGGGCAATCTTCTTCCTCTTCTGGCAAATTGGTTGCTAAGAAAAAAGGAATGAAGAAAACTACTAAACCAAGGAAAGGTGTTAAGAAGGCTGTCAAGAAGGATAAAGGAAAGGCAAAAATGATGACAGCAGAATGCTTCCATTGTCATAAGTCAGGACATTGGAAAAGGAACTGCCCAGAATACCTAGCCTCACTCACCAAGAATAAGCAAGTTGTTGCTTCATCTACAGGTGTGTTTGTTACTCAGAATTGTTTTTCTATAAATCATACATCCTGGGTATTAGATACCGGATCAGGATCTCACATCTGTAATTTGTTACAGGGACTTAAAAGTTATAGAAAACTTGGAGCTGGAGAGATGACTATGCAAGTTGGTAATGGTGCAATAGTTGCAGCACTTGCAGTAGGGGATTTTCATCTAGCTTTACCAAATGGAAACGTTTTGATTTTAAATAGCTGCTATTTTGTACCAACTATGATGTGTAATATAATATCCATATCTTTATTAGATAAAGATGGATATGTATTTAAGTTGGAGAACAATGTTATGAATATCATATTTAATCAAAAGTTGATTGCTTATGGAACATTGTGCAATGGCATCTATATTCTTAATCAAAATACAATTCTGAACACTTATCACACTAATAAAAGAAAGCACTCAGTTATGAATGACGCTTTCTTATGGCATTGCAGACTTGGTCACATTAATAAAGAAAGACTTGGCGAGCTTCATAAGCATGGATATTTAGATCCATTTGACTTTGAGTCTTATGAGACTTGCAAGTCTTGTCTTAAAGGTAAAATGACCAAGACTCCATTTACAGGAACTGGAGTAAGAGTTACAGAACTCTTAGGACTGATACATAGTGATGTATGTGGTCCTATGTCTACAATGGCCAGAGGTGGCTACTCCTACTTTATTACTTTTACTGATGATTTTTCAAGGTTTGGACATGTGTTTTTGATGAAACACAAATCTGAAGCACTTGAGAAATTTATCGAGTACAAAAATGAAGTAGAGAACCAAACGGGCAAGAAAGTTAAAATTCTTCGATCGGATCGAGGAGGTGAATACTTGAGCTCGGAATTCTTAGGTATTTTAAAAGAGAATGGGATTCTCTCTCAGGTTACTCCACCCTTTACACCACAGCTTAACGGCGTGTCAGAAAGAAGGAATCGTACCCTATTAGATATGGTACGTTCCATGATGAGTAACACTGAGTTACCTTTTTCATTCTGGGGGTATGCATTAGAAACAGCAACACACTTACTGAATAGGGTTCCAACTAAAGCAGTGCCTAAACCTCCATATGAGATATGGAGTGGGAAGAAACCACATCTTAATTATATTAAGATTTGGGGATGTCATGCTTATGTAAAGAAGCAAGATCCCAAAAAGTTAGAGGCACGCTCAGTATTATGCAAATTTGTAGGATATCCAAGGAATTCCATTGGATATCAATTCTACCACATCGATGAACAAAAGATAATTGTTTCTCGGCATGCCACCTTCTTAGAGAAGGAATTTCTTGAAAAAGAAATTAGTGGGAGCATGGTAGAACTGGAAGAAATTTCAGAGATACAAAATATTACTGATAAATTAGTGGAACCAGCAAATTCAGTTATACCAGAAGAACCTCAACCACTCCACAGATATCCAAGGCGATCTCATGCACCTAAGACACAATATAATTTTTTAGTTGAAGGTGGCATGTTAGATCACGTCATAGATGATGACGAACCTTTAAGTTATCAGCAAGCCTCTGAGAGTAGGGACTCTGTTGCTTGGCATGATGCAATGAAATCTGAAATAGACTCTATGTACACCAACAAAGTATGGATATTAGACAAT